ATCCATAACGAAAAAGTATAGATAGGGAATACAATAGAAAATGCAAGGTTGGCCACGTTTGTGTGTGTGTGGTTAAGCTCCAAGTGCCCACACACCCGTCTCTGCCACCAAAGCGGCACACTTGCACATATACATATGTATTCATATAGATTTTTCAAACCATAAGGGGATGCGGAGGGCAGAAGACAACTTACCTACGACAGAACACTACTCCAGCAAGAAGGCACCGACCCGACCCCCTCGAAGGTCCGAAAAAACTTGGAGTGTCCGTGTGTGTGTGCGCGGGTGCGCGTGTGTGTGCCCTTGTGTGCGCTTGTGTGCGTGTGTGCGTGTGTGCGTGTGTGCGTGTGTGCGTGTGTGCGTGTGTGGCGTGTGTGGCGTGTGTGCTTGTGTTCTGGGTTGCATATGTGTGTGTGTAATAGATAGATAGACACATAGATATATGGAGTGGATAGATATGGGGGGAGAGAGAGAGAGAGAGAGAGAGAGAGAGAGAGAGAGAGAGAGAGAGAGAGAGAGAGAGAGTTTTATTTTCGGACTGGCTGAAGGATTTGTGGGGTGAGTTATTGATTGGTGTGCTAATTGCTCTCACGAATGGAAGGGTCTTGACAACGACAGGCCACGGATGGATTCCTGGACAGGCAATGCAAATCATCCAGCAATTACTGCTAGGTCGGAGAGAAGACACGATTCTCGGAGCCAGCAGCTTCTCCGTAGATGCCAACCAGTCATTCAAAGGGGAAAGAAAAAATTAAAAAAAAAAACTGCAAAAAAAGAAACAGCTGCGGTATGGCAGGGATTTTTTCCCCCTTCTTTCTTTYTTTYTTTYTTTCTTTCTTTCTTTCTTTGGGACTATCAAGTTCTTTCTTTCTTTTTCTTTTTTTTTATTTCCTTCTTTGGGACTAAGTCTCGATTTGTGATTGTCGGCCGCCTCGACTCCCGCCGCTCGCTCGGCGTAGTGTGACGCGAAGGTTGATCTTCGGGTTGTCTGTGGATATGGTGGATGCGCGGTTGAATTACCTGTCGAATCTGGACAGGACGGCCTTTCAGGCCTTTTTCATTACCATTATTATACTATTACGGGGAACCCCGTAACAGCCACATCTGAGCTCAAGCCTCCAACGGTCGAACGAGGGAACAATGTCACTACAGCAGGGTGGGCGATACCGGCCAGGTGTCAGCCGATAGCATAAGGACCGAGCTTCTTCTTGGATGGGCCAGTCACTGGGCCTCCCCTATGCGCCGCCTTTGTTTTTTGTTTTTTGTTTTTGTGCATGTCAAAGCGTCTATCGTGTGTGCATGCTTCTGCTGCTGAGATCGCCGTTTTTTTTTCGTTTTTTTTTTTACTGCCTTCTTTTTTTCTTTTACAAAAAAGAAGGCAACCATTCCATTATATGCCAGAAAACGGGTCCGCGTCCCTTATTTGGGACTACGGATCGACTGATTACGCTCCTCCCTTGCTATTTTGGTTCTTGAGTATTGCTATTGCATGCTAAACAAGGGTTCAAAAAGTCCGAAGGGTGATATATTCATGCCAGGGGAGTCATGAACGTGGCCGCTGTTACGGCAAATGTTCATTCTTTCTAAGCATGTAGATAGCACCAGCGGGGCTTGCGGCTTTTTTTTTTTTTTTTTCTCAGCCTCACAATTTAACTTCGATTCAATATTTGTCGCAGTAGTAGAGGCCCACTAGCACCGAGAATTGGCATCTCTGCACAAAACACGTCCAGATTCGGGAATTAAATCCAATCCTCTTTGCTGATGGGACCAGGCCCCGGGGTGCTCTACATTACTCCCGTACCGAGGCCTCTCGAAGCATCATCCTTTTTCTTTTTTTCTTTTTTTTTTTTGATCCATCATCCAGTTTTTTTTTTTTTAATCTCCATGGCCGGTAGGGTCCTAGCGCCGTTCTCGACCAGGAGGGGGATCCCACTAGCATTGTGCGGAGTAGTGTAGCGGGCGTGTGACCCGCCTCCGCCGTCGATGGGAATGGGGATCGGTGGTTTTGTTTTTTCTGTATTTTAGCCCTCAAAAATATGTGTTTTTTTGGAGCATCCCATTGGGTGGTCTTTATTTTGTTTTGCTTGCCGTGTTCCTCTGGGGGTCCCGAACGTGAATTGTGTTGCTTTTCACTCACCTTTCACTCACCTTTGGGTCGTGGGCAATGCGTGGAAGAAAGGCCAAAAACAATTTCTTTCGGTGTTTCCCATCATGAGGGAATGTCAGTCCGTGTCAGACCCTCGTCCAACTTGTCTGTAGTCCCCGCAAAATGTGCCCCCTTAATTTTCGACTGGCATAGGGCCTCGCTGCACTACTCTCCACATGCGCAAAAGAAAAAAACAATGGCAATGTATATTTCCACGTTCTAGCAGAACATTCATTCTCATTTTGCACGTTTGGAGAATAGTGCAGCGAGGGCCATAACACATATGTGCTGAAACTGGTCCATACGCCGTCTGCATGCATGCGCATGATGTCGTTCGCCGTGTGCTGCACCACTGCTGTTCGGCCCACGGGTAGGATAAGCAAACAGTTTGTTTCCCCACATGCATTTTCTCCCTCTGCCTATCGCGCCTGTACAAGCGCAGCCTGCGTTGCCTCGCCCTATTCACACCACGGCGCCCCTCGCTCGCACTCGTAGCTGTTTTTTTCACCTTCGCACGGTCGTGCGGATGGGTGGAATTTCGTGTCCACCGTGGTAGCGGCGTCTATCGATGTACACATGCACAACATTAGTCTTCATTTATATACATGTTAATACACACACACACACACACACA